GCAGGATTTAAGAGAACATATGAGTGCTTAGAGCCTGTTCCAGCCACATCTTTGACTTAAGACAGTAAAACAAATAAATGCCTGCTATCCCCAGCCATAGGTAAATGTAAGAATGCTAATATTCTGTAGCCTTGGTCTGGACCAACTCAGGAAATGAGAATGCTGTGTCTCCAGAAACAAGTGTCTTTGCTTAAGAGGAACTGAGGAGGCTGGAACTGACAAAGTTACCATAATCCTATTCCTTCTGAATGCCTGAAGCACTCTGGAGTAATATGGCAGAGCATTCAGGGAGATGCATCGACGCTGTCAGGCCACTAGGGTGTTATTTAGAACCTCTCTGCTGGAACAATGGAGACATAAATTTCAACCCACTTTCCCTGGTTGCCATGGTAACTTGATGCACTTGCTTTGAAGTGTCTTTTGTGTCTTTCCCCACCCCATTTTCTTTTTCTAACCATTAGGATTTTTACTTTGCCAGTAATTCCATAATCGTGGTTCTTGTGGCTTCTACTCTTACTTTTTTTCAGCTAAATATCTGAATTTGTTACTGGGGAGTGATTTCCACCTAAAAATAATAGTTGAATATGCATGTTAATACAGACATGCCTGCGTATCTATAAGTCAGTCTCTCTTTCCTCTCTCTCTCTCTCTCTCTCACACACACACCACACACAGAGGCAGATAATTACGTTAAAAAACTGCATAGAGTCCTAAAGATTTTCAGTTCTTTTAAAAAGGCATTCCGTGTGGCTTATATAAAAATTGAAGAGTAAGTGGTTCAATTCTAGATTAATTAACTGATTTAGTATTTCCTTAGCAAATGCAGTGTGGCCAGGCTGAATAACAAGTGTAATTTTCATTGTGTTTTTTTCTATACTTGATTATAACATATTTCGATTAAGAAAAGAAGTGTGTTTCAGTGTACAAAGTAAAAGACAGCCTTGATTGGCATTCAGACTCCATTATCTCTTTGCTGTGTGACCTTGGACAAGTTACTTAATCACTCTGAACTTCATATTAAAATGGGTTGGTAGTTACTTTGTGAGAAATAGAGATCATAGATATAGAACACCTAGAATAGATCCTACAATAGGTAGTAGGACATTATAAACAAATGTTAATTCCTTCACATCTAATCAACTAACAAAACATATTTGAAAAATAAAATCCATTTTGGTCTCACTCATTAGATAAGTGTGTACTTTCTTCTTTACCATATACATTTTCACATGACAAAAATGAGACACATATGAAAATATAGGAGCAGAATGGTATATAATCTCGTTGCTTGCATGCCCACAATGCAGAGAACTGACAGTGGAAAAAGGCATTTTCTGCAAGTCTCTAAAGGAAGCTTGTTTTATTCAGTTAGGATCTTTCATCCAGAACCAAGCCTGGTTAAAAAGCTAATAGGAGATATAGAAATTGTTCTATCTCCTGAAAAACAGTATTCACCACCACCAACAAAATTCCCCTTTCATGTAGGAAATGCCTGGGCTACAAGTACATTCTAAATATAAAAATATGGATAATCAGGGGCAATAGGGAGGCAGAAAAACAACATTAGGCGTGCAGGAAAAGAGCTATTGCCAAGAGATGAGAGCTACTATTGCTATGCGTTTATGTGCAGTGTTGACAGGGAAAAATAACAAGGGGAGAGAAGCAAAATTAAATTTTAAAAGGAGAACTGCAATTATATTACACAACACCTGCTTTCTAAAAGTATTGGATTTTTCAGAGAATAAGTCACAGAAAATTAAACAACAATGAAAAAGAGATCACAGGGAAAATCATTAAAGAGATACTATTCAAATAATAATTAAAAAATATATTCTCAAGTAATGAGAAAAGGCATAAAAGAAGAAATGTTAATTCTTCTTTAGTGCTTGTAAATTGGAAGTGTTAGGTGGATAAAAATTATTTAAATAAATATTTGATAGATTTAATAATCAATGCTCCATTGAATAACTGAAGAATTGTCTATTTGATTATAATTCAAAGAGGATAGATTTTGGAATCTGATTAAACTAAATTAAAATCCCAGCCCTGCCTTTTGGTAGCTGAGTAATTTGGGGCAAATGATTCAACCTCAGTAAGTCTCAGTTTCTTTATCTGAGATGGGGAAACTCAATTCTAGTCTGGGTTCTGCTAGGAAAGTTTGTGTAAAATTAGACAAGTCCCTTTGCTTCTGTGGGTCTTTTTCTCTGAGTATAAAAGTGAGGGAGTTAGTCTCTAGGTGGTGGTTTCCATGAGTGCATTTGCAGTTTTGACATCCTGAGGCTCTGTGTCCTATTTAGTGCTGATATTATTTAACTACATTTCTACAGGTAAGACCTAAGGCCTTTATTTTCAGGCTTCTTATGAAGCCACTATTTACGTTGGATCCAAAAATCAGAATCTGAAATTAACACAAGGGGGCAGCTTGTAAGTATTTCAGCTCTTTTCTTATGCATTACTGTATCTTCTAGAAAGTATGCAGTTATCTGTCCCTAGAATCTGAGTGTTGATAGGTAACACAATATCCCCACATCTCTAGCTTGCATTCATCTTTAGTCAATGAGAGGACTTTGTGGTTCTACTTATCTTCCTCGAATATTAGTGAAGAGTGTACTTGATGATGCTAGGTACTTCACAAGTATTATGAAAGAAAAGTTTAATAAAAATAACATACTGTTATTTATTGTGGAAAATATAAAAATATAAAAAGACCAAAATAAATGCCACCTACTGTCATGATGTTCAGAAGTAATCACAACTGTATTTTGGTGGATTTTATTTCTCAGTATTTGTGTTTCTCAGTATTTGTGTGTGTGTATGTATGTGTGTGTGTATGTGTATGTATTTTCTTTTTAATAAACTTTGAATATTCTTTTGTAACATATTTTTTGATTTACAAATGTCTGCTAGCCTTTTTCTATTCATAAAAATTCTTCTATGGCCCAATCTTTAATAGATACATAACATTTGATCACATGACCATATTGAATCATTGAAGAATAGAATGGTAGCTAAGTACATGGACTCTGGAATAAGATTATACGGGGCTGTGTTTCCTACTCAATTTCCTTATCATAAAACGGATGCAATAATGATATAGACCTCCTAGAATATTTTGACAATTCGATGAGTTAATCCTAAAAAAGCATCAAAAGAGTGGGCAGTCAATAAATATTAACTACTGGGATGCCTGGGTGGCTCAGCAGTTGAACATCTGCCTTCAGCTCAGGGCATGACCCTGTGGTCCTGGGATCGAGTCTCACATCGGGCTGCCTGCATGGAGCCTGCTTCTCCCTCTGCCTCTGTCTCTGCCTCTATCTCTCTCTCTGTGTCTCTCATGAATAAATAAATAAAATCTTTTTAAAAAAAGTATTAACTATCATTACCAAAATTTATTTTGTCCAGTGTTTTATCTATTTTAAATAGGGAAATTTAGTTCTTTTGCATTTATTGTGGTTTTCAAAATATTTAGATTTATTCTGTAATTTTAGGATATAATTTTTTGTTTGTTGACCATCATTTTCCTTTCTACAATATCTACCCATTTCTATCTTCCATTGTACTGATAATATTTCTATATTTGCTTTTTACTTTTTTCTCTACTGGCTTGGAAACTTCTGATTGCCTTTCGGTTCTTTTACTGGTTATGTTTTTGGCAGATATAGTAATCTATAAATTACCTGAAGAAATCAATAGTATCATTTTTTCTCAAATATGAGAGGGACCTTGATGTACTTTGACTTATTGAACACCGCAATTTCCCAACCTATTTATTTGAACATAAAAATTAATTTTATTTAAAATCAATGGCTTATTAAATTTAGAATATATTTTATTAATTTCTGTGCTCACCATTGATCCCTGTACTTATGTGTTCCTCTGACTTCACTTTCTTGCTGAAGTACATCCTTTAATATTTATTTTTGGAAGAGTCCTGATAAATTATCTTAGTTTTTATATGCTTGTACTCTCACTTTTGCATGATAGCTTAGCTGGGTATATACTATTAGGTTAGCAATTACTTTCTCTTTATGAACATATATTCTGTAGTCTTTTGATCTCTATTATTACTAAAGAAAACCTTCTTATTTTAATTGTTTTTCTGTAACCAGTCTTTTCTCTCTTGCAAGTCTTAAATTTTCTCTTTATCTCTGATGATTTTCAGTTTTATGGCCATGTGTCTGAGTGAATATTTATTTTGGTCAGTTCTTAAAAAGCGTTTTGTATCAGAAGACTTGTCTTTTTTTCAATCCTGACAAATTTATTTTTATTTTTTTTTTAATTTTAATTTTTATTTTTTTTTCTGACAGATTTTTAATAATATTTATTCAAATATTGCTTCTCTATTATTCTCTCCACCTTTTTAAATTATAGTCCAAGAATGTGTGAATTAGTCCCTCTCAATCTATTCTTCATGTCATTGTATTATTCTTCCACAATTTTCTATCTTAGTCTTTCAGGGTTATATTCTGAGAGGATGCCTTTTGCTGTCTTCTAATTATTTCTCAATAGTTTAGACTTTAGTTCATGACATCTATTAATCTTTATTTGTTTCAACAACTGTACTTTTTATTCAATTTTAATTCACTCTTTGTTATATCTACCTGTCTTGTTATGCACTGTCTTTTTCAAATGGTTCTGCAAGTGCTTTATAAAAACTATTTATTTCACAATAATAAAATATGAAGAAAAATTGAAAAATTAGTAAAAAAAATTGCCTGTATAATTCTCAAAAGGTTCCCAAAGGTTAGCAGTTTACTATATATGTGTTATTCTCTCAAAAATTTGCTGATATATACCCCTTAGCCCTTAAATACTTCCGTTTGCATTTTCTGAAAACAAGGACATTCTTTTATATGAGCAAGTTACAATGATCAAAATCAGAAAATTAATCTTGATGTAATAGTGTTATCTATTCTACATACCTTGTTCAAATTTTATCAATTGATCCATTAATGTTCTTTATAGCAAAAGAGAAAACAATTTTTCTTTCTTTTTTTTTTTATAACTATTTTTTCTATTTATTTGAAGCACAGTAAAAAAAAATTGGTACACTTTGGAAATTCAGTGGCACAAGGTACACTGCCATAACTTGAGGGACTTTATACAGTTAAAAAAAAAAAAAAGAAATAAAAAGGAAAAAAATTCCCCTGTTTGAAACACTGCATTACATAATTTTACCTGCCCAAACAGACCATTTACAAATATTAGGTCAATAAACTGCTAACATCCATAAAAAGGTAGCTTTCTTACTAAAATGCAAGAATTTAAAAGATTGGTATCTAAACAAGAAAAGACAAAAACAAACTGGAATGAAAACCTAGATATCACATCTAAAATCGGGGCTTTTTGTTTGGGCCTTCATACTCTTCTCTCCCTCTACCATATCCTGCTGGAGTTCCAGGCCCCATTCCTCTAGGACCCTGTCCACCCACAGGTCCCGCACCTCCCTGCCCAAAGCGCTCAGTACGCATGTCGCTTCCCATCATGGAACCACTCATGGTTGCTGGTGGGACTCCAGGATTAGCTTCATAACCTATGCCACCACCACCACCTAGAGGTGGAAATTTCTGGCCTCCTGAACCATAGGGATCTCCCATGTTCATTGCTCCTCCACCACCCATTCTCATGTCTCTTTCTCTTGGATCCATGTAGCCCATCCGGCTATAACTTTCCTCTCTTTGGTGTCTCATTTGTTCTTCCATCTCACGCTGCCAAATCATCATCTCTTCTTCCCTTCTACGCCGTTCTTCTTCTTGCCTTAGTTGCATTTCTTTACGTTTCTGCATTTCTTGATTGTGAAGTTCTTCCATGCGTCTTAATTCTTCCTGGCGTCTCATCAGATCTTGACGCAAAAGATTTGCCTGATGCTCATGATAGGCATCTTCCATTTCACTTTCCAATTTGTCTTTCGCATCTTTCATGTTTTTTTTTCAACTTGTTCCCTTTGCTGTTTTTCCATTTCATCCAGGGACTTCCATCGCTGAGAATATTCATACTCAAATGTGCCATGCTGGGCAAAACGAGGAGGTGTTTCTCTCTCCTTTTGATACATTGGATTCTTCTGTGCAAGTTTTTCAGGAAGGCCATGTTCATCATCTAATTGTTCAAGAGGTTCCACAACGACTGGACGAGGTGTTGTTGTCAGTAAGAAAACACCTTCGCTGCATCTTTCAAATGCTTTTCTTGCCGCTGGTTCAGAAGCAAATTCAACAGTGCCTTTCCCTGTAGATCTCCCACGATCATCCACGATTACGACAGCCCTCTCAATAGGACCAAATTGGCTAAAGGCTTCTTCTTCCAACAGTTCATTGGAAACATAAGGTGAAAGAAAGATTTCGCACGGACAGGGCAGCAGCATGTGTGGCAAAGCGACCCCGAAGCTGCCTACCCCTCATGGGTGTATCATCCAGTTCAGCTTTGGCAATTTCAGCCAATGCCCTAGATTCAAGTTCAATAAACCCAAATCCTTTGCCTTTGTTGATAAAAACTTCTCCTGGTTCTCCGTATTTAGCAAAGGGTCTTTTGAATTCATCCTCCGTGATGTCAGCAGGTAGATTCCCTACAAACAACCGGCAGCGCTGCGTGCAGGTTTTCTCTCCCGGCCTCCTCAGGAGCGACAAGTTGGCTTTGAACCCCTCCGAGTCGGAGACCTTCTCCTCGCTGCGGCCGCAGGGCCCGCAGGGCCCGCCGGGCGGGGGCGGGGGCGGGGGCGGGGGCCCCTGGCGGTGCTGCTGGTGGTAGGGCGGGTGGTGCTGCCGCCCTCCACGCGGCTCCCCCCCCCCCCCCCCGCCCCGGTGCGGCGGCTTGGGGTGGCCGCCGGGGGTACTCAGGCCCGGGCCGCCGCCGGGCTTCGGCCCGCCCGGCATTTTGCCGCCTTTCGGGCCTCCGGGGCCTGGGCCCTGTTTAGGCGCCGGGCCCGGGCCCCCTGCGGACGGAGGCGGCGGGCCCCCGGCCTGGGGCGGGGTGGTGGGGGCCCCGCTGCTCGGCGGCGCGGGCGGCGGGGTCGGGGTGGGGCCCCCGAAGTCGGAGGAGTCGCGGGCGGTGCCAAGCCGGAGGCCGGCGGCGCGCTGCCCACTCCCGGCGCCGGGCCGGGCCCCTGAGGACCCACAGGCTTGGACGAGTCCCGCGGCGGCGGCGGCTGCTGTGGCGGCGGCTGAAGCGGCGGCGGCTGCTGTGGCGGCGGCTGAAGCGGCGGCGGCTGCTGCTGCTGTTGCTGGTGCGGAGGTGGTGGCGGGATCGGGGGCTTGGGGCCGCCCTGGCCCGGGCCGGGCCCCATGGGTCCCCGGGTCTGATTGAGGCCCATGCCGGGCGGCGGGGAGCGGAAGTCGTGGAGGCCACCGCGGCCGGAAGCCGCCGCCGCCGCCGCCGCCGCGGCTCCGGAACCGGTCCCGAGACATGTCCGTGATCAAGGGGCGGTCGAGGCAGAAGCGGAGAAGACGCTCGGGGAACGTGGAGGCCACCTTGCTTCGCACAAGATGGCGGATGACACAGGCGAGAAAACGGTTTTCCTCATCAAGGCTCCAATCTAGGATCGCACATTGAATTTAGTTCTCATGCCTTTTTAGTATCCTTTAATGTGGAATATTCTTCAGTCTCCCCTCAGTTTTTTTCCATGACTTTGACTTTTTTTTTTTTTCCAAGAATACAGATGTTTATTTTATACAGTAGTCATCAATTTGAGTTTTTCTGGTGTTTCCTTATAGTTAAATTCAGTTTATGCATTTTTGGTAGAAGACCTACAAAAAGGGAACACCTGAGTGGCCCAGCAGTTGAGTGTCTGCCTTTGGTCAGGGTGTGATCCTGGAGTCTCACATCAGGCTCCCCGTGTGGAGCCTGCTTCTCCCTCTGCCTGTGTCTCTGCCTCTCTGTGTCTCTCATGAATGAATGAATGAATGAATGAATGAATAAATAAATAAATAAATAAATAAATAAATAAATAAATAAATCTTTTAAAAAAAAGGCCTACAAAAGGGATATATACTTTTTAATACATGATCTCCAAAAGAATCTAGAATATCTCTTTGTTCAAATATTGATAATATTAAGTTCATTGATTTGATTAAGGTAGCTTTCAGGAGCTGCTGTTTTTCCCAATTAATTAGTAAGAATCTGTGGGAGATACTTTGAATTTAGATCAATATACTGTATTTTACTTATTTCCACTCACTACTTTTAGCACACATTTATTATTCTTACCTAAAACAATTATTACTAAGGAGACTGACAGTGGTTTTCTAATTCCTTCATTTCTTCTACACTTATTAATTGGCATTTTCCTATAAGAACGTGCTTTCCCTTATCTTTCATTTGTTTATTCATTTCTTTTTATCAGTATAAATTTATGGATATTCATTTTATTGTGTGGGTTATGATTTGTTACTATCTTTATTTGTTATTCAAATTGTCCTAAATTTGTCCATTGCAATTCCCTTCATGTTGGCCTCTGTGTTCTTTTGAAATATTCCCATCATGTTTTGAGCACTTTCTTATTTTCTAGCAGAGTAAGATGTCCCAGGCTCATCTTGTATTTTCTCTCCCCAACAGAGATTCCCTGCTTCTACTTAATGGAGAATGGTATTTAGAAGCCAACATCTGAATATCAGTTGTGTTCATTCTTACTGGAGTTTTATCACTATTCTAAGACCTCTCAGCAGATAGAATTAGGAAATATATGACAGAATTTGGAGAAATACACCCATATTTATTTTTATATCTCTCCATCTATCTGTTTATCTGTGTATCTACCATCTTTTTAAACTTTGAGTTCATAGAAATAGATACCTTCATTCTAACCTAATGCCAAAGTATTTATTCATTATTCATTTGCATATTTATAACTCCCTTCTCTGATCATGAGAAACATGGCTTCCATCGTGACAATACAGTTGCTTATTTTTTTCAGTCTTAGAATACACACTAGGGAATTTTGAATTGCTAATCCTTATTATCAAGTAAACCTATATAAAAGATATCCCATTATCAGCATGCTTTTACATTTCTGAAGGCTCATTTTGAGTGTGAGATATATTTTTGTTTTCTATACTTTCTTTATGGAAAGTAATTCCTGAATGGAATTTTATGTTTGCCCCTCATTTGGCCTCTTGGGCTTCTAGTCCATAATCAGGGCTTGTAACAGCTTCATTTCTCCATCCCCATTGTAATATAGCAGCTTTCACAAATCTAATTGTAGAGCTAGCATGTAGGTTGACTCAATTTCTGGTAATGAAGTAATCTTTGTAGATCCTTTTTCTACTGCATTGAAGTTTTGTTTTATTTCTGATTCATAGAGATGTTTATATTGGCTTTGATTTCAACTATACCTTTTGTTTCCCCTCTTTCATATGGTAACTTTCTTTGTGGGCTACTTATAAGAGAAGGAATGTGATATAAATACAAATTCACTGGGCCATCTTGACAAGAAACATAACCACTATTCATTATGTCTTTTCCTAATTTGGGATATATGGTTATTTCATTATGATTAACAAAATTTTAATGAACATTCATGTATGTGCATTTCATATGCATCTCTCATTTTTTTCTTTAGGATATATTTTTATAAGTGGAGTTTATAAGTAAATGGGTAACTGGACTTTCAAGATCTTTGAAAGATATTTCCCATTCTCATATTTCTCCAGAGTTATTATACCAGGTTATATTCAGACCTACTGTGTAAAACAGTACCAAACCTTTGGTAACACTACTTTGAATTACTTTTTTGGAAATAAATAAGTAAAGAATATCATTTTGATCATTAATTAAATTTTCTAGGTATGCTTTAATAACATTTTGTTATTCTTTTGGTATTGTCCTCTACTCTCAGCAGAATTATTCATAGCTTTATCAGAAAGTTCTATAGCCAGTTGCTTAGTGTCTGTCTTCTCAAGTTGGCAGTCTGCAACTTAAGGGCAGTGGCTCTGTTTATTGGACACTGATTCCCTTACGCTTGGCTCAGAGTAGGTCATCAATATAAATTATCTGAAATAACAAATTCACAAATTCAAATGAGGAAATCATTGAACTTTGTGTCTTAGATTAGTTCTCATTTGTTAACATTTTTCTTTCTCTTTTGTCATCCCCTGGTTCTCTCTCTGTGTCTTTTTTTTTTTTTTTTTTTTTTTTATTTTAGTCTGTGCAGGGTTGGTTGAGCTTCTTGGATCTCTGAGTTCATTTTTTGGGGGGTCATATTTGAAAAAAGTTCAGTTACTATTTCTTTAAATATTTTTCTACCCAATCTTTATTCTTTTTTTCTGGAACTTCAATTACACATATATTAGGACATGACATATTTTCCCTATAGGTCTTTTTAAATGCCTATATTTTAGTTTCTCTCTATTGATCATTTTTATTGCCCCATCTTCAAATTCACTGATAATTTCTTCTGTAGTATCCAATTTACTGATTAAGCACATTCAGCAACTTTTTTTATATTGCAGATTAGATTTTTTAGGTCTTGAATTTCTGTTTGGTTCTTCTTTTATGCTGTCCCTTTCTCTATTAATATTCTCCCATCTGTTCACTCATTATGTTCTACTTCTCTTTTAAATTCCTAAACATATTTATAATAACTTTTAAAATATTTGTTAGTTAATTCTAGTGTTTTGGACATAGTTGGATCTATTTGCATTGATTTGGCTGTTCCCTTTTGGCAATAGGTCACATTTTTCTGCTTCTTTGCGTGACTAGTAAATTTTGAATGAACTATGAATATTATGGATTCTTCAGTTTGAGAGTTTGAATTTTATTGTCCTCCTTTAAACAGCATTGAGTTTTGTTCTGGCAGGTAGTTCATTTACTGACAAATGAACATAATCCTCTCAAGACTTATTTTGAAAACTTTGTTATAGTAGTTCTGGAGTAGCCATTATTCTAAGAATACGGTAGTGTTATTCATACGCATGGTTTTTCTGGGTCCTCAATTTGAATTCCTGGAATGTTGAGCATTTTCTCTCCCCTTTGGCTACTCAGAAGACATACCTCTCAGTACTGTTCATCTTCTGTAATATTTACTCAGCTTATAGTTTCCCAGTAACTGTTTAATGCCAGGCACAACAGAATCTTTTTGTCTGTTTGGGAAACATTTTATCAATCCAAAGACTTAAGAGAAACTTTATGCAGGTTTCTGGAATAACCTCTTCTGAGATAACTCCTTTCTGATGCTCTACTCTGTAAATTTTAGTTCCTTCAGAGGCTCTGAATTCTGACCTCAACACTTCAGCTCAGAGAGATCCCTTCTTTGTTTGGCCTCTTTCTATTTCCTCAAGGTCAAAAAGTACCTCCAGGCAGAAAGTTAGAGAAATTGTGTGGCTCACCTCATAACATTTCTGTTTTCTCAGGGAATCGCAATCTTCCATTGCCTGTAGCCCCAAATCTGAAGTGTTGTTTCATATATTTTGTCCAGCTTTATAGTTATTTATGGCATTTGGTCTTATCAAGTGCCAGGTACTCTGTGTGGTTGGAAGCAGGCAGAAGTCTTTATCTTTGTAAACTATTAAGAAGTCTGGCTGACTACTATGCAGATATGCAAAAAGTGAGAGATATTTCTATGAACCAAAATAGAATCATTTCCAGAATATACTTTTAAAATGAAAAAGCAAAGTAATGAAAATCTATAATATGCTATCTTTCATGTAAGAAAGAAAGAGAAATAAAAACATATACATGTATTTCCTCATTTGTACAAGAGTTACCATAGGAAGAATAAGTCACGCATTAATGGTATTGGCTATTTACAGAGGATGATTACAGTGGAATAAAATGAGCAGGAGAACAACTCTTCTTTAAACATGCTTTTTTTTTTATAGTTCTGGATTTTAGAATTACATTGTTTCACATTCAAAATATCAATAATGAAGAGGGGGTGCCTGGGTGGTTCAGTCAGTTGGGTGACTAACTCTTGGTTTCAGCTGGGGTCATGATCCCAAGGTTGTGGAGTCCAGCCCCACATGGGCACCATGTTTAGTGCAAGTCTTTCCCTCTCCTTTTCTTTCCCCCTCTCTCCTCACCCTGCTCGTACTCTCTCTAAAATAAATAAAATAAAATCTTTAAAAAAATATGAAATGGAATACAAACAAACAAATGAGCTTAACTATTACAAATGAATGATGTAACCACTTTGAAGGAGAAAGAGAAAAGAACCTAATTTAGTTTGAAAAACAGTATTCAGCTATATTCACTAAGGTTAATGGTAAAAAAAAAACAAAAAACAACTATTAATTAGGTTTGTTTTTCATAGGGTTAAGAGTTAGTGATTTCAAAACTGATTTATGAGTTTTCAAAGATTGAAGAAAGAAAGAAAGAAAGAAGAAAGAAAGAAGAAAAAAGAAGAAGGGATAATTCAAAGGAGAAAGTTTGAGAAGTTTCTCTCTGTAACTTTCTTTCTTTACGATGCTGAGAT